CACGTCACGGCATACAGTCTAAATATTAAAAGTTGATTAGAAAAGTTTTCTTTTCCAATATTTAATCCCAATACTTATAAAAGAAACCTTTTAACTCTATCAGAGACACATTCCTTCTCTTGATTTCAGAAATTAGACAACAGTTCTATCTCTACTCAGCTGTTGTTCGGCTAAGCTCTACATACTTAAGTCTTCTGGAATCTTTGCTTGTAAATTAATCCCTACAGCTTCTCAATCATTCTTTACGTCTCTGAACTCCCTCCAGTTTCCCTTAAAGAATCTGGTAATGAAGTGTTTTAAATGGAACACAGTTTTCTAGAATGCTCTTTTCTCTTAATGATTTTTTCCCTCCAAATATTAACTTTACTATGATAGCTACTTCATGCCTTTTAAGTTGTGGAATTCCTTTGACCTCACTTGAACTGCAACAGAGTCTAGGCCCATGTGTCCATTGTTTAGTCTCTTTGGTTGATCATAAATAAATGGAGCTTCAAAAAAATCCCAAACCAGCCATGAACATGGATATTGCTCCTCCAACTGGACTGATGCTCTTACAATTTGTTTTGTAATACTTTTAATCCTTGTTTGAGCTAACAATTCATTTATCAAGAAGTAATTAATTCATTAGATATGTATTTGTATTACCCATCTTTCCATCACTATAATGAAATTCCTGAGAAAATTAACTTAGAAACAGTTTATTTTGGCTCATGGGTTAGGAGGTTCCAGTCTATGATCAGAGGGCGCACTGCTGTAGGCCTCCGGTGGGCAGCACATGACGGTAAAACTGTGTGGTGGAGAAAACTGCTCACCTCGTCAGTCAGAGCCCAAAGACAGACGAAGAGGAGACCCTTCCAGGCTATGCTCCCCGTGGCCTGTACTCCACTCATCAAACCACAGCAATACTCAATACCTGCTATTTGTAACACGTACGAGGTGTGATGGAGTATTACAAAGTGTCTTAGCCAGGAATACCAACTGACAATTCCCTGTTAGTACAGTGATAGAAGGAAAGTACAGATACTCCTCATTTAATGACCTATCTACTTAACAACTATTTGAAGTTATGAGTCATGCTGTTTGGATTTATAACTTTTTTTTGGTATAGTTCTGTCTTGTTTATAGAGTTTCGATGTCTTTTTTTGTACATTACACCTTGTTTACAAAGTACTGTCATTTTTGCTTATTGTGCTGTGGAGTACAATACTGCAGTTTTATGTTGTTATACATTACAGTACTGCGTATAAAAGTTATGCAAATAAAAGCGAAGTCATCAAGTTAGTTTCCTTTGACTATTTCTTTGTTCTGAATACTGTAATGTACATACTACAGACATACAATTTCTCATTTAGCAAGCAATTCATTTAATAATTTGTTGCAAGAATGGAATTTGAATTTGGTCCTTAAATGAGGAACATCTGTGTAAGATATTTTGGAGACTGAGGTAGTAGGTGGACTTTAAGATGGTCTCCATTACCTTTACCCTCTAGTATTACTCCCCTGATAATTTTATGTATACTGCAAGTGGAGATTATCTGGGCAGGCCTAATCTAATGAAATACACTCTTGAAAAGGAGAGTTTTCTCGGGCTGGCAGCAAAAGAGAAAATCAGAGAGATATGAAACATGAGACACTACCAGTCGGATGATGGAGGAGTCATATGAGAAGGAACATGCATGGCTGGTATGGTGGTGCACACCTGCAATCCCAGCGCTCTGGGAGGCTGAGGTAGGAGGATCACAAGTTTGAACCTAGCCTGGGCAATTTAGCAACTTAGTGAGACACTGTCGTAAAACAAATAGATAAAAAGGGCTGGGGATGTAGTTCAGTGAGAAGTCCCTGGTCCCATCCCCAGTACTCAATGTGGATGGCCTTTAAGAACAAAGAGTGGCCCCTGGCTGAAAGCCAGTGAGTAAATGGGAAGTCAGATCAACAACTGAAAGGAAATGGATTCTGCCAACAATTAAATGAGTTTGGAAGTAGACTATCCCCAAGAGCACCCTGATAAGAGCCAAGCCTAGCAAACACTTTGATTTTGGCCTTATGAGATCCTGAGCAGAGAAATCAGATGAGCCTATCTAGGTTCTAACCTATGAAATGTGAAATACAAATGAGGATTGTTTATTGAAGCTGCTAAATTTGTGATAATCTGTTATGAGGCAAAACAAAACAAAAACAAAAAGACAATACAAGTAGAAAAGCGTTGTTTATCTTTTACTTGGTTTACTAAAACTTTACTATCCTACTGAGGGGTATAAAATATCTTAATAAATGGAAACTCATATCCTGTCCTTGGCTAGCAAGACTTTATAAAAATGACATTTCTCTATAAAACTAACCTATGTATTTACCATTTTTTTTTTTAAGAACTTAAAAGTTGATTCCAAAGTCCAATTTTATTTTGGTAAATAAAAACACTTCTAGAACTGGGCATGGTGGCACATGCCTGTAAGGCCAGTATTTGGGAGGCTGAGGCTGGAGGATCGATAGTTTAAGACATGGCTGGGATACATAGCAACTTTGAGGCTAGTTTCGGCTATGTAATGAGTCTCTGTCTCAAAAAACCAAACCAAACCACACCAAATCAAAAAAACTCCAAAGAAACAAAAACACCCCCCTCTTTTACTTCTATTCCACTTTCTACACTCTTTTAATTATTTCACTAATATTAAGTCAATCATCGCAAGAACTCGCCAAAGTAGGTACTATGTTATTCCCGTATTACAGATAAAGAAACTGAGGCATAGAGAGAAAATAACTTATTCCCACTAGTCTCTAAATGCTTTAGAAGCAAATAATCTATTTTACTTACTATTAAATGCTCAGCACCTAACTTCATGCCATATGCATGGGAGTTAACACACTTTTTGGGGGAATTGAATTGTAAATCGCAGAAGTGAAATTCATTTCTTTATTTGAGTTAGGGAGAAATCTCCGTAGGAAAAGCTTTCATGATGTGTGAGACCTAAGCGATAGCCTGACAGAAAGTGAGCCAGCCTGGTTGGGAAATAGGATAGGAGGCAGCATAATGGAGGCAGAGGGAAGAGTACAAGCCACACTCTGAAGCAGGTGAGCACACATGCTGAGTGTGCATGTTTGTGAATCTGGGGGTGGTGGACTGGCCAAGGAACCATTTTGTTTAATTTCATACAAAAAGCAGGAATGTGATTATTTTTCTTGATAAAGTGTTTTTAAAAGAAAATCTATATAATTTGTTAAATACCCAAGCAGGCATGAATAATTCTGGACAAGTGAATTAGGGGTATGGAAAAAAAATCACCATAAATTTGTTTTAGATGTGTTAAAATTTCTCAACTGATAAATGAGAACTCAATTTGCTACTTAAATATTACTATCTGGCACTATTAATCTTTGAACAGGTTGATACATAACTACCCATCCATCAATTAGTGCTTCCAGGGACTATGACAAGGTTATTAAACAATGTGATCTTCTATCTTCACACTGCCACTTTCACATTAACTTCCTAGCTTACTTCCAAAATTCCTGATTCAATCTATTTAAAAGCTAATTCATCTGAAATGACATTGGGGAAGGAGCAAAAAACTGAAAGCCTCATAGGATGGAACTCTAGGTTTCCTAGCTGCTACTTGTATGGCCCTGGACAAGTCATTCACATTCCCTAAGCCTCTGGTTCTTCTCCTACACAATTCACATTACAATACCCGCTTCATAAAGTTGTCATGTGTGGATTAAAACATTGTACATAAAACTCCCAACATATTCTATAAGTTATGTGTCTTACAAATGTTACTTCTTTTTCCTTTCTCTAAATATCTATTCCTAAGAACATTACAGCTTTTTGCACTAACTCATTAATGCTATACCTCATGCATTATTAGCTTTTCTTTCTTTCTTGAGACTACATGTAGTTATTTTGGGCCTTAATTGGATCATGCATGTCTAAAAAGATGAGACATGGAAAAAGAAAACATGCAAGATATAGAGATAAGAAATGCTGGAATTCTGTGGGTGACAGTGAACTGAAATGAAGACTTAAAAACTGACAGAAAAACAAAATTGGGACAATAGAGGCAGGATTACTAAGTAGAGAGCACAAAAGTATAGGAGATAAAGGGTAAACTTACATCTGGAATCTAGATTATATGTGTGTGTATATATGAACTGGTATGAATATATGTATATATACACTCTTTATATATATACAGAATATGGATTACTTATATAAACTAGCTTTCTAAGTCTATTTATTTCTGCTCTGCCTTCCACCTTTTTTTTTTTTTGACAAGGTCTCACTATGGCCTTGAACTGGCCTTGAACTCACTATGTACCAATGGAAACGGTTGTAGTTTCAGTTTCCTAGTGTACTCTCACTAGGCTGGCCTTGAACTCACTATGTAGTCCAGGCTGGCCTTGAACTCACAGCCATCCTCCTGAGTCAGTCTCCCGAGTGCTAGGATTACAAGCATGAGCCACCATGCCTGGCTCTACCTTTGGTCTTGTGTAGATGCAAAGAAAGACAAGCAGCTAGAACCATGTATGCATTCAGTCAATACATACTGACCACCTGTGTGCTAGGCCACAGGCTGCAGTTACAAAGAAAAGGCAGTTTCCTATTTAAAGTAATCATAATACAATGGAAAAGATATTTAGAAACATAGGTATGTTAAAAATAATAAGTATCACATTAGAAGAAAGCATAGGAACACAGAGAAGGGATGCCTAACCAAATCTCAGGGAGATAGGGAAGTTTAGCATGGACTAAAAACCTGTCTGGACTATACAGTACAAGTTGGAGTTTAGTAGGTGAAAATGTAGAGAAGTAGTATTCTAAAGAAAGGAAACTGCATGTGCAAATGCCCAGCAGCAAGAAAAAACACATGGAACACAGATGGGAAGAGGGGATGAGACTACAGTGATACAAGTACCAGACGCATGGCAGGCAAGAACAAAAGACCTTCAACAAGGTTTCAAATTCTGAGTACCCCAAAGAAGTAACCAGCACGCCAGTGACTAGATGTGACAGAGGTTGAACAGCTAAGCAATCTCAATGAAAGATGATGTTATATAAACAGGGAAAACAAGTGGTCTGGAGACATGCACACACTTCCCGTCCTTCTCTCTCCCTTCCTCTGTTGCTCTTGTGGGATGTCACAAAAGGTCTCCAATGGAAACGGTTGCAGTTTCAGTTCAAAGAGAAAAGGAAGGGAAAAGTTCTCTGGCTGTTATGAGGGTTCTGCAAGGGGCTTGCAGGCCCTGCCTGGCGGTGTCTGGAGGCTCAGGATCGGGGAAAGATGCCCCAGAGATCCATGGAGCAGCACCCCGGTTTCATCTGGATGGAGACATCTCACTACACTGAAGAGGACTGAGAAGAAGGTGCTGTTAAGGCCCAGGCAAAAACTGGTGACTACAGGAAGGACCGCTCCAGGGAATTTGTGGAGCAGGCTCTTGTGAACGAAGCCTGCTGCAAGGTCTATCCATAGATGACAGCAAGAGCCCTGGGTAGGCACAGCGTCACACTGAGTATAGCACAACCTTTGAAGGTGCTTTCGTTTTATACCTGCACAGAACAGCCTTCTTTCCTACAGCACCTTGACGATCATCTAGCTTTAGCAGACACACCTCTAATGACACAGGTATTTAACTCACTCCAGGCTTCCCACTCCGTGGGGCAGTTCTATCTCTTAAAAGATTATTTCTCATGTGAGCTAAAACTTTCCTCTTTCTGATCTGTACCTACTTGTTCAGTGTTGCCTCGGTTCACGAACGCTTTTGTTTGCAAACTGCATTGGGCGACAAACAAGACCACAACCATCTTTCCACACAGACACAAACACAGTTATCTTTTCCAAAACTGTAGAACAAGTTAAGTTTGTGGTACGTGTATACCACTGTTTTAATTCTGCACCTCAGCAACAAGGTTTAATTTTATTCCTCTCTGGCAGCCTTTCAGACGTGAAGATAGCTATCTCCGTCCCACGGATATATTCTTTACTTATGTTTTTAACTTGTTTAGAATAGCAATATATTTAAAATGTCTTTTCAGCCTTATCAATAAATTTCATTATAATTTTCCTCTCTATCAGATTAAGCTGTTAAAAAAACCATATGAAGTAAACATCAGCAGAAGGGATCCTTGATTCCCCTGTGAGTCTTTGTTTTGTCTGTGTCTCTAGTGTGATAACACGTGAGAAGACCAACTTTTTTTTGTGCTATGCCAAAACCTTCTCAGCCTCACCCACATTTGGTTGTATCCCCTCATGTGCTCTACAGTACAAACACCAAGTAACAGCTGCTATTCCTCAAGTAAGCTTCCGAGACATTCTCTGTCACCGTCATACTACTGCTTCAGTCCTCAGGGTCTCTCCTAGTTCATTCATCCCTGGCTGCTATGGGTTGAATGTTTGTGTTAAGCCTGTATGACAACTCTGGGGATTTGTAGGCTAAGAAGGCAGAATGAACGTGTGCACTGACGTCTGCAACCTTCTGAAACTCCAATAAAACGTCAATAATGGGATGTTCTTTCCTTTAGCATTTTAAAGATGTGCTCCAATCATCTTCATGCTTCCACTGTTGTATTTCTAATGAGAAAATAGCTGTTCCTCTGTATGTATTGTGTGGTATTTCCCTGGTTGTTTCCTTAACCTTCTTTGATTCCAGCCATTAGTTTATGTATCATGTGCCTTGATGTATTTGGGTATACTTGTGTGTATGCTAATTTATTCTGGTTGGGGTTTGCCGAGTTTTCTGAACTATATACTTACGTCTTCTTTGAAGATCAAACTGGAGCCGGGTGGTGGCACATGCCTATAATCACAGCAACTCGGGAGGTGCGGCAGGAGATACAGTAGGACAGCTTGGGCAATTTAACAAAAGCCCATCTCAAAATAAAGTAAAAAGGGCTGGGGATGTAGCTGAGTGGTACAGTGCTGGCCTAACATGTGTGAAGCTGCAGGTTCAATACCCAGCACCTTTCAAAAAATAAAACACAAAAAACAGCAAAAAGCTCTGACCATTGTATCTTTAAAATTTTTCCTCTTCCACATTGTTTCTCTTTTTTCTAATTATGTGTTTGATGTATCTTTTGACACTGTCCCAAAGACATGTAATAATTGGTTCAAATTTTTTTCTTTTTTTCATTTTCTCTTCTCTTCCAGTTGCACACAGGTTGTACCCTTTGTCTTGTTCTACATGTTCCTGGAGCTTTAATTTTTTCTCTTCAGATTAGATCATTCTTATAGACCTATTTTCAAATTTATTTACTCTTTTGTCATTTCTATTTTGTTGTTAAATCAATTTCATTTTTATTTTAGATATTGCATCTTTCAGGTCTCATATTTCTATTTGTTTGTTTCATTTCTTCTGTTGTAGTTTCTGCCTCTCTCCTGAAACTTCCTACATGGCTGTCCTTTAGTATTTGTAGGTGATGGTTGCAGGGCCTCCTGCAGACACCAAACCTTGTGTATGCTCAAGTCCCTTATATGCAATGGTATAGTATTTGCATATAATTATGCACATTTTCCCACGTACTTTTAAAAAACTTTTATAGTACACATTTGCAGAACATAATGATTACATTTACTGTAGGGATTTGGTACATGTACATAACACATTTCAACTCCCTTCTTATTCCCCTTCCCTCTACTCTATTATTTTCCAGCACCAGATTCATTTATTTATCTTATAAAGGCCCTATAAAGGTAACTGTCATAGATACAGATGAACACCAGACTAACAAACCAAAGAACATATAAAACTTTAGTCACCTTTAGATTATGTATAATACCTAACACAATATAAATGCTACGTATGTAGCTGTTATACTGTTTAGGGAACAATTACAAGAAAAAAGTTTGTACATATTCAGTATAGTGCACTTTTCACTTGAGTATTTTCAATCCATGGTTAGCTGAATCTGGATGTTCAACTCATGGATATGGAAGACTAACTGCATTTATTTTCAGTAAAAACATATTTTTTAATGTCCTTGATCATAGTTATAATATTAGCTGTTTTAAAATTGTCAGCTAATTCCAACATTCGGGTCATTTTAGGACTGATCTTCATTAATTTCTCGAGAATAGTTCACATTTTCCTTTTTGTTTGTATGTCAAACAAGTTGGGGTTATATCCTGTATACTGTTAAGAGCATGAATTTTTAGTTTTGTTTAGGAATCCATTAACTTGGCTCACACTGTAAATTCTGTCTCTGCTGTGATGGGTTGGGGTTGTCCTCAGAGTCTACATTGTGCATGTGAGGTTCATGAGTCAAAGAGATTTGGGCAGAGGCTACAGATGGAATCTATGCTCTTCAGGCATGGTACGGTGGGCAGAGAATCTATGCTCTTCTGTCCAGTTCTCACCTTTACAATTCTCAGTAGCTGAAGTTCCCTGACTTCTGTTCTCCTGTTTTTTAAGTCAGAAAAAGTATAAGTACCTACAAAAATTTTAGCTTCCGTGTGTGACACTGATTGGGGCTTACCCTCAAACTAACAAGACACTCATGAGGTGCTTTCTTCTAAGTTTTACTCTCATCCAGTATAGTAATTGCCTAGTTTGGTCATTCTCAGTGCCTTCAAGTACTTGTTTTTATTACATTTTTATCTATAGTTGGTAATTTTTAATTTGCAGGAAGGTTTATCTGATTGGAGCTACTCAGTAATACCAGAAGAAGAACCTCCAAGGGATTTTTTTAAACATACAAATAAAATACATATATTTTCCTCAGAGATCTAGAGGAAACATTCCTAAAATTCATCTGGAACCTGAGACCTAGAATAGCAAAGGCAATCCTGGGCAACAAAGGCAAGGCAGGAGGCATCAGAACCCCTGACTTGAAATTATACTACAAAACTACCATGATAAAATTAGCATGGTATTGGCAAAAAAAGACCTGAAGATCAATGGAACAGACTAGAATATGCAGCCACAACCAAAAACACACTCAGCCACCTTGTCTTTGACAAAGGGGCCAAACAAGTTCACTGGAAGAAAGATAGCCTCTTTAATAAATGGTGCTGGAAAAACTGGCTCTCCACATGCTGAAGACTAAAACTAGACCCATGTCCATCACCATGCACTAAACTAAAGTCAAAATGGATCAAAGAGCTAAATATCAAAACAAAAACACTAAATCTACTGGAAGAGAACGTAGGTAGAAATCTTGAAGATATAGGATAGGCAGAGAGTTAATGAACAAAAACCAAACTGCATGGGAAATACTTCAAAGAATCAACAACTGGGATCTGTTCTTATTTAAGTTTTTGACCATGAAAAGAAATCACCAACAGAGTAAAAAGAAAACCCATAAATTGGGAAAAAGTTTTAGCTAACTGTCCTTCAGACAAAGGACTTCTATCTAAAACATATAAAGAATTAAAAACATCAGGCCCCCAAAATTCAAAGACCCAATCCAAAAATAGGCATCTGAGATGAATACACACTTCTCAGATGAAGAAATACAAACGGCAAATAAATATATGAAAAAACATTCAACATCATTAGTCATTTGAGAAATGCAAATTAAAACAACGCTGAGATTCCTCACCCCAGAAAGAACGGCTATCATCAAGAAATCAACCAATAACAAATGCTGGAGAGGCTGTGGTGAAAAAGGAACCCTTCTCCACTGTTGGTGGGAGTGTAGACTGGTACAACCACTGTGGAAATCAGTCTGGAGATTCCTCAAAAAACTAGGATTAGAGGTCCCATTCGACCCAGCTATTCCCCTTCTGGGTATTTTTCCAGAAGAACTGAAAACATCGTATCATGGTGATATATGTGCACCCAAGTTTATAGCAGTGCAATTTATTATAGCTAAACCTTGCAAATAATCCAAATGCCCATCCACTGAGGAATGGATAAAAAAGATGTGGTATTTTTATACAATGGAGTATTATTTAGCTATAAAGAAAGATAAACTTGAGGCTTTTACAGGTAAATGGATGCAACTAGAGACTATACTCATAAATGAAATAAATCAGACTCAGATGTGTAAACATTGTATTCTCTCCCTAGTGTAAGACACTGAGATAGTAAATAAAATCTGAAACGTACAGTACATATTGGGAAAGTGAAAAAATTGCTCACAAGGAAAGAACAACTGGGATGAGGGAAAGGAGAAAAGAAAGAAAAGAAAAAATATATATTTACACAAGATAACTAAGACAATTGTACTACTAATTCCTATTGGTTTATTGAAAGGAATAGTTAATGCTTAATTTTTTGATCAATTTTGCATGCCTATATCTGATAATCTGAACAACTACTTTGAAGTAGTTGCAATATGCAATATAACAACCATTGTTGATCTCCTATCATCTTGTTTTGAAATTCATCATTTTAAATTTTTTTATTTGCTTTAAAGTAAAAAAGTATTTATTACAAATTAAATATATAAAATA